TTTAATTATTTACATGACTGGATAGTTAAATATTCATATCGTAAAAAAGTTTGATTTTCGAGGTGGAGTTATCAGTATATAACTGTATCGACCATAAAAATAATCTGATCTAGTTCTACGTTTTACACTGCAAAATTTCTTTTGTACGCTTGAAATCGGATGAAGTGGACTTAGCGAAAAACACGGTTAAAATGTCCACTGAGTACAAGTCTAAATATCCAAACTATCAAAGGTGCAGATTGTATAGAAATGACCATTCTTCTAAGCCTACGAAACTCAGTTTATTTAAAATCACTTATTGTGAGACATGAACCTTCAAGAATCAGATAAATCAATATTGTGTTAATATTATTATATTTCTGCACTAGAACCACTAGTCTGACCAGATAAAATGATAATTGACTTTTAGCATTTATTGATGCGCTTTCTGTTCGTAACTTCTTATATTCAGGTTTACAGCAATTTCTTCATTAAAAACCAGAATATTATGTATGCTTTCGATTGAATTACAAATAAAAAGGCCGAAAGGCGGTCACGTAAGATGTGCTTTAGGTTAATGAGTAACAATTACAGAAGTTACATAGCGAACTGTTTACAGGGGAATAAAACTTTTGAATGTCATTAGAAATTTTACAGACGAGCCACTCAAATGTAAACCGTTTGCGCACCATGCTCTAGTGTTACTGGCTTTGAACATCCAAATCATACACCAAATTATTCGGTAAGTCTAAAGTTTTAGAGTAGAGTGGTTGATTATCTAGTCTAATCTCTATTAGCGAGCGAAATTCATTATAGAACGCACAATACAAACAGAAGGCTAGAACGACATGCTCAATTAAATACAATAGCTGGTGGTTGATGACGAGTATTGAGTAATCTGAGATCTTCATGTTCTGATAACCGACACCTATTAATGAAGCGTATTGGGTGCTCTCTTGCAGATTAACCCCATTATTATCAAGTTATTTCATTCTAGTGATGCTTAATTAGTGGAAAGGAAGTAAAGGGGTCATAATAGCAAGGCAGTTATGGTAATCCTTAGTGACGTAATAAAGATAATAAAAAAACAAGAATCTGACAAAGTAATTTAAATCCTCACGCTCTAAAACATTCTTTATTAAAAACTGCGTTACGGATTCAATATTTATATTAACCAGTTACTAGTCTTAATTTCTCGTTACATAAAAAGATAGCTCTCCACTCTATTAACTTGAAAGAAACACTTGTCCAGTTCTACATAGTTTTGGTCGGCTTATTAATAAAGCAGTGTTCTGGACAGAATATTTCACTTTCCAGGTTAATTTTATGTTGTTTACATGATCATAATATATACAACTGAAGGTTTTAAAAGTCTATTTGTTTTAACACATCAATGACTGATCTCAGAGGAGTAGGTGATCAAAGCTAAGGAAAGTGGACTAGAAGCATATTCTTCAATCAAATGTCTGAAGGTTATGGGTTTCAGCCCATGTGAAGTCATCAGTACAAATTGTAGGGGGTCTCCAAATGAAGTCAAAACTATCTAACGGTACAATTCTTTTCAGAGGTTTTTCAGCTGATGCTACATAGAGATAGAAACTATATTCGAATTATGGATTCCACTCATCGCTAAAAATTTGACTCATGTCACTTATCTGATATTTCAAACAGAGTATCAAAGGCTTTAAGGTGCGATACTACATACTCGTTTGGCCAACATGAAACCTCCTTTGTAAGTACGAAAAACTGTTTCGTTTTGGATCTTAATGAAAGTAAATTCAAAACGTACTGTTATATGGTTTTGCATATTTTATCATTCCCCACTTCAAGATAGCCACGAATACCAAAACATTAATATGGTTATGAAATGACAGTATACATGAGTGTCGCGTAATGTAATATTTGAGCGGAAGGGTTTACCATAAAACTACGTTCGTTAGTGATGGAAGCAGACCACTATAAAATAATAGTTAGATGGAAGTTAAGAAGGAACTACATGCTATTTCCTACTGTAGGTTTCAGCTTTGAAATTTTATCTATGACATAACTGACTAGTTCCCCTTTGTAAAAGCTAATTTTTGGAGAAATCTCATGGCGTAGAATAGAGCAGTTAGGAAAAGCTCTCGAAGAAGCGTCTATAAATACTATAAGTGGAAAATGAGGTTAGTGTAGGGAATCATTTGATCTCATGAGTCACAGATTTCTAGAGATATGTGAAAGAGATCGGTGCAGCGCTACAGATTTATTGAGCCCATACTTGAAAAATCCTGTCGTGTACGCGGCCGCAAACTATATGAGTGTTCTTTTAAACGTATCTAGCTATTTAGTTAGAGTAGTATACTCTGAAAAATGTGAAGTTAATAGTTCAAACCTCAGTCTGCTTAGGTGGCGACGTATGAGTAATTTTTTGAGTGTTTTCTTAGTCCATCACATTATTCCTCACAGATGTCATAAATCCAGTAAACAGGACAAAAACCTACTTCTATATCTAAATGAAATGGAATTATGACTTAATCACAGTTAAAATTTTGATGAACGTTAAACAAAGTCTTTTAATAAGAAGAGATAATCAAATATATCCTCAAATAAATAAACTAAGGTTCTTTTTCATATTGATTAGACATGTCTGGAATGTAAAGAACCCAAAAACCACTTAAACCCAGAGATAGTCCTGTAAAACTAATAAGTTTACTAGATTGAATGACATCTGGTTAACACATGTAAAGAAATTTGCAAAACACTTTCTAAAATTTCGAAGTTTTCACCATGGCCTATAGTTTCATATGGACATACAAAACTCCAGCTAGTTAATCAGAGGCTAAGGAGAAACGTGAAACACTCATGTCACTACTATGTGGTTGTTATTGATATACAAAACCAGCCCTTAAAATTATCCATTGGAGTCTATCAAGTTTCTGTTTGCACACATCAATCGAATGCTTACTGGTATCGCACTAAAACAGAAATAGATGATGTAGTACATTCTTCCGCAATATTTTTCTTATCGGTTTAACATGATTTTCAATAATAGAAAGAAATAATTGGATTTATATTTATCTTATTCTACCTTCAGTATCTGCCAACATAGTTTTTCGAACTACTAACATTTAGGACTTGAAATGAACTAGAAGGCGCACAATTTTCCTATTGTTGCCAGGTAATTATGTCAAGTAATTAACAACACCTTATACTACAAACTTATAAATGTGACTGAAATCAGTGTCAAAGGCTTGCAGATAAATATTCTTAGGTAGTACATGGATACATGCATAAAAGAACATTAAGTAACAGTATAGATTTTGAAGGGGCTATAAATTTCCTATGAAGTGAATTCGACTAAGATAAACAAACCTAAGAAACTAAAAAGAGAAGGTTCAACAACTTAACACATTCATGTACGTCGAACATTAAAATATAATAGAATATGTTGAATTTTAGTTATATCCTTTGGCCCACTTTGGATATTAAGGTGACAAAAAGTAGAAGTACATCCTGAGAAGTTCAAGGGAAATAGCTGTTTAGTATGGTATCTATTGGGTAATTTCTTGTCTTATTATAAGCAGGGTGAATTGAGGAAGGAATGCAAACAAGTACATGTAATCAAGAAAAAAAGCCGACAGAATAAAATACAACTTAGTTTATTAATCTTAAAAAAGTTCTACAAAAGCATCAACGTGTCTTCAAAAAGGCCTAAAATTTTCAATACTTAAAAGGTATGGAAATATTAATTATCCGTCTTGTCACAAGGCAGAATAAATTGTGCTTTTATACTGGTATTCCAAATTTTATAAGCAAACACAACTTAATATGCCTTCATTATCCACCATAATTTGAAGCTAGTTGTTTTTTTAGCTGACTAATAACCATCGTAAAACACTTCTACTATTTGTAATGTTTATGCATAACGATCGTTTTTATTCCCAGTATAACAATCCAATCATAATGTTTTCATTCGTTACTCTCAATTAATAACAAAAGAATACGTAAAAGGATACACGTATCAGGTGCGTTGATCTATTAGAGAGAACAGTTAATTAGCCAACGTGATTTTAACGCCTGAAATTAAATGAAGTTATAGTAGGGATCACAGCCCAGTCAGTTTGAACTAAACCACTGAAGCCATTTAGAGTCAAACTTACAATAAAACTTGTCTTTAAACCGTCTTAACATCAATTTTAATCAAAAAACGAAGAGAAAGGTTCAAGAAATTTTACATCACTCATAGAAGTCAGACAAAATTACTACAGAAAGCAAGCTTAACAAACTACACAGAAAACAAAAGACAGAACAAATGCTACATGAGACGCCATTTTTAGTCGAATATACTTTTAGCTTTTGTTAGGAATTCCTTAAGGCAGTCATAGAAAAATTCGTAGGTATCTTGTAATTCATGTGTTGTGTATCGACTTTTACAGCTAAGTTGAAGTACTTTTCAATGAATTAAGTATGTTCTGGTAGCTGTCAGTAGGCGAGAAGTACGTACGGACTATGTGCGCACAACAATCGAGGCTCAAAAACATGAGGACAGGACTAGACCTTTCATAAGAAGGTGCATACGTGTGAAAAGGAATTTGTAGACAGCTAACCCTAACCGTCAACTGTAAATCATAATTCCAATTCCTTACATTAGTTCATAACCCTCATTTAGTCCTAGTGTGTAGGTGGATATTCTTAAGGCCACTTAAGCGTAGCTCAAAGGTCGTCCATACATTTCAGTCTAACCAAATTTCTTCCTAATTAATATGTGTTCAGGACTAAAATAGATATTTTGGATCTGAATTGTTAGTTTGTGACCAAAGAAAAAAACCTTGTTTTGGCCTTTATCAGTATGTTCATGAAGGTTTTTTGGTTTTTTACATTGTGGGTCAACCAAGTAACAATACTACTTCTGATCTTGAAAATAAGAGGCTTACGTTTAGAAGAGTCTGAAAAAACAAAGTTATCTTGGTAAAAGAACAAAAATGACTCTAGGTTGATACAAAAAGTCCGAATCACACCATACAAAATCTTGCCTTATTTACTGGAAAGTATTTAAACTAAAACACCAAAAATGAGAGCTGGTTGAATTATGCGGCGTTAAGACTGTTATGTTCAACGTCCTCATTAGACTCGGATAACGTAGATAAAGTAGACTGACTTACTATTTCTTAATAGAAAAAGTAAATCGCTAGAAGATACAGGAGGGAATATAAAAGGTGTGTAGAGAAGTGCAGTTTATAGTGTGTTTGGAAAGATAGATCGGACGATTCTCGACATATTGATAGTCATCGAATATATCTTCCAATCTCCTCGATTCTGTCTTTTGATTTCTCTTGGTGGGTACGGGTTATATTAGGTGTTACTAGTCAAAGCGTTGTCAAACACTGAATACTTGTGTCATCTCCACTTTCGAAGCTTTATTTCGAAAATATCTATAGAATGAACCCCAAATAATGCAAATAACCATAGGAAGAACAGACCATATGAAACCCAGACATTTCTGTGAGGGCTAGTGCATTGATCACTATCGTGAACTGTAGGGAAGATGGTTTTGATGAATCAATTTAGAGTTCCTATGATAGTTCACGTCGCCAAAATGATGCATCTTGCTTTTAAGTGGTTAATCGAAAAAATCCATTCCGAAGGTTTTCATTTCTTATCAATGAGGTAACTGTGATGAAGTCGTGAAACGTTTGTTACGTTTAGTGACACGCAGCGTTAAACATAAACTGTTTTTCTTCCCTCGTGATTATACGGCATGTAGCATTTTGAAGCATGACAGAGCCTCAGTCTGTACTTGCAAAACTTTATCCCCCTAATAAAAAAACTGGGTGAGGAATAAGTTCAACATAATTTTCTATGGGTTTTTGAAGTTTACATTATATAAGAGTTTGCTTGACTCAATCTACCACAAGTATTGGTTTATTTCGTGTTTTTTGGCTATTCAAGTGGTGCAAATATATTACCTTTACTTAAGCAATTGAATCAACAGATATGTTCACGTGTGGTAAACAAAACAAAATAGAACGACAATGTATGAATAACAGATGGACTAACGTGATGAAAATACTGATTTAACGTATTCGACCGAGAGATTGTACATCTTCGTTAGTGGTGAAGTAAGAGCTACGATCAATATACTGTTGCTTGATTTCCCGTATAGCCTCTAGTGAGGCTTAATGACTTCGTGAATTAGAGTTCACGTATTTAAGACTAAAATAGACATTTCATTAAGATATGTTGAATGATTTTAATCTTATGACTGTGTGTTGTTGAAATTTGTGTCTTATGTGCTGCATGACTAGCAGTGCTGCAAAACATGCAGAAAGCTTGGTTCCAATTTGTAGAAGATGAACAGGGCTACCTACGGGCACTAGTTTAGATTTTGAAGATGGCGTTAAAAGTATCAAGGCTCTACTTTGTATCTCAAGGTCCATGTAACACTTATATTAGGCGAACCATACTTTGTTGAGATACAGCCTAGGTTGTAGGGTAAAATCGAAAAATTGGGCAACAGTCTTACAAGATGGCTGAGTGTGTTTTTATCTTCCTATGATTTCAACAAAAAACATCCACCTTGCCTTTGTGTTCTTACTCTTCAGGTTGTAAAGGTTTTTATGCATGGTCTGTCATGTAACGACATCTATGACTCAGAAATACTTGGTGCAGTGGGCTGAACAAACGGAGTGAGAATAACTATAGCACGTCAATTACTTGCTTTATTCTTCATGAACGAGATCTTCCATCTTGAAGAATGAGAATACAGTTGCAAAAACTGTAGAGCGCAAACAATCGACAGCTGTGTACGAAGTGATTTAATTAGGCCTATGATAAGTTCTTTCTGTTGGTGGTGTATATCATCCGGAGCTGAGTCGTCTTGAAATACAGTACATTTTATTCATATCTGAGTTTGTGAATCAAGCGAAAAGCATCTATTATAATAAGTTCTCAATTATTAAATTTTTTATGCACCAACACAGTTTAAACAAAGTGTTTAATGGACAGATTCTAGTTTCCACGATAACGACTGTCTAATTCATTCGTTCACCGGGCTCAACAGGTGCCTTGATCGTGCGGCAACAAAGTGTTTGCTGAAAATATAGTATTTCTAAAAATTCCACGTGTTTCATACTACTTACATCAAACCGTAAGCAAATAACATTACATGAACCATACGTCTATTTTACAATGTGTCAGTTGTTGTGACCTAGCTAGGTTCACACACCAATATCCCTTACTTTATTAGAATAACTTGACTTGCTTTGAAGCTCTGCATTTATTGCATGCAAGATGTCTTTCATTGCAATATGACATTTTTCATAAATTTAAATAACGTAAGTCTCTGTACTGATTAGCGTTTTTTAGCGAGTTAGTTTCCTACGGGATGGGGACGCTAACAAAGTACTGTGGGAGAGAACAAATCAGATCCCAGCGGAGGAAGAAATTAGGAGGAAGCGCCGGAAGTGGATAGGACACACATTGAGGAAAGCACCCAACTGCATCACAAGGCAAGCCCTCACATGGAATCCTCAAGGCCAAAGGAAAAGAGGAAGATCAAAGAACACATTACGTCGAGAAACGGAGACAGACATGAGAAAAATGAACAAGAATTAAATGGAACTAGAAAAGAAGGCCCAGGACAGAGTGGGTTGGAGAATACTGGTCGGCGGCCTATGCTCCATTGGGAGTAACAGGCGTAAGTAAGTAAGTAAGTTAGTAAGTAAGTAAGTAAGTAAGTAAGTAAGTAAGTCTGTAGTGGCATTGGACCATAACCACACAATCTTCAAAACGGAACACAAGACTACACAGAAAACAAATATTCAATATTTAACGCGGAGAAATACCCAACAATGGAGAAGGCGCGAACAATGAACTGAATGGACTGGAGTTGATCGAGTGGCATGGCTCGACCATGCAGGTGTGGTCTCTGCTGAATGTTACCTTATATCCAATTACGGTTGTTACCTTATATCTTCTATTCATATTAAATATATTGTTCTTTCTCTAGCCTAACCTTGTTCTACAGCATGTATTGGTAATTGATACGATACAGTGAGTTGGCGCAGTCGATGGTGTGACTTCCACGTAAGATCTTATAGATTAGGCAGTTATATCATGACGAATCTACAAATTTAGGATTAGGTCTATTATTAGAGCAGTACTAATATCATAGTAGACCATAGTTCTACAAGTCTCTGTACTACTAAAAAAATAACTAGTGTCGGCAACCAAAGTTGATTATTTTATGATAGTCCTATACACATTGGTTCTTTAGTTTGAAATTCTACGATATAATTTTAAAGAAGCATTAATTTCCTGATTACTTTGTTTTCTTTCTTAGATGGTCTCTCAAGAGGTAATAACAGGCGAGAATGCTAATGGTTGAATTGTATGTATTTAAATTAAGTTTCAATTAATGTGTAGAATTATGGTCTACTATGATATTAGTAATAGACCTAATCCTAAAATCGTAGATTTGTCATGATATAAATGCCTAATCTATAAGATCTTGCATGGAAGTTACAGTGGAGTGTGGGATTTTTTGTTCAGACAAACAAAGCCTCTCAACATTCAATATAAGACAGTAGGAAATATAACGCCTATGCAAGATAAGGAAGTGAGTGAATAATTGAACTATACTGATTTGACATGTGCTTAGTTATTTGAGGAGAACTCTTAACAAACCAACCTAAACTGGTACAAATATACTTGTTACAGGGAGACATTTTTAAGTTCGTTCTTGTTACAGTTAGTGTAGTGGCGTGTCTAATTATTTATGAGTCGTCTTTGCACGGAACGCTGCTAGATAGTGAAATGTATAAGGCTTTAAACAGTATTAAGAATTTACGCGATGTGTAATACAAGTTGGTACTCATGAAAATAAATGGTTATAAAATGTATTCAATCTGCAGAATTTACAAATCTGCTAGTTTTACATTATTTACGTGAATTCAGTTTTATGCATTCTGCGTTAATACAAAAGTTGGGCCTGAAATACCATTGGTGAGTTGAATGTAGTAATAAGCATGAAGCCATTCTCAGGCGGTCACAATAAAATATGCGGGTCTTTTCACGTTTTAATTGAAAGAATTCACGAGCTGAAAGAAAACGTGTGTATAAACTACACGCTGCTTGTTGTTAGAGAACTTTCGTACTTAGTCATCAGTGTCTGTGGACCGTAAAAAGTGGATGTTTTAACAGAAAAAGCGAAATAATATTCACTGGACTTTTGTGATATTGATACAAAGATTTAAACAAATAAGTGTAGTGAAATATATACGCCATATCATGAACTAACTTGGTTTTCCAACATAAAATTTATGGATCCTTATTCGACTCTCTTACTAAAGAGTCTTCTGTATGGATTCGTTTAAATTGTTGTTTTACGTTGAGTCAATTTTAGTTACTTAAGTGTACTCTCGATAAGACTATTCATATTTATGTCCAATGTCAGGATGTCGTTACTGGATAAAGCAGAACAATCACGTTTCATAGCCGTGTCTATCAATATTTCGGTTAGTTCTATTTCTTATTGAGTAATATACGTTAAACCCATATATTGAGCAAAAATATAGTTTCTTCTCTGTATACTCAGTTTTTCACTCACTGTTTGGTAAAGGTGATTCCGGCAGCAGACTGGATAAATAGTAGAAAGCAAGTCACTCTTTTACCCTATGAATATTCCTTTCGACTTTTCTCAACAGCCGAAAGTTTAGATGTAAGCAATATGTTTGTGACGTAATTTAACAGCTAGTTGTTTAATCACCCACAAATACAAGACTTGTGGAGCATTCATCGAAACCACGGGAAGTCATTTGCTAGAGCATCCAAACGCTGTCCTCTTAAAATTCTGTCATTTCCTTCTGTTTTTCGAGTAATATGTATGGTCAGAGATTTAATTCAGTTGGTAATGATAAGTCGAAGATCTATGTATAGAACCACGCGCCCATTAAGAAATCGGAAACGAAACCTGGAGCATCCCCAAAAGATACACACAGCATTAGTCACACGACTCAGTTACCAAACAGGACACTATGCAAAGCAAAAAAGACTCAAAATCAACACGGATTTTTACTTCTGGCAGTACTGGTGAGCAAGGAAA